TAAAAATGGTGTATTAGTTAAAGGTAAAAAATTGTTAATTAGCATTAAAAATTTAAAGTGTTTGACTAGACAGTAACAAATTCATAAACTTAAATAATAATAATAATAAAAGTTTGTTTGTTTTAAATAATAATAATAATCAAAAGGAATAAGTCGGTTTTTGTTTGTTTGATTAAATAATACAAGTCGCCATTATTAGACAAATGGCGACCTAAAATATTACATCAAGACATTTGTGTATATAACCTTTGCTACGATTTTTTCTTTTAAATATCCGATAAATTTTTTTCTGTCATCATCCATTAGAAAAAAAAAAAAAAAACAGTTAATGACGTAATATTCAAAGTGTCATAGTCAAGTTCAATCAGTTCCTGTAAGGTCAATGTTTAACTCATGTTTTTTTATTTATTTATTTATATTCGATGGAAAAACTTACAGATATTTTCCTTTTGTAAAATTTTGCCATTTTTCCAATTAAATTTTCTTTTATTGTTAAATCATTTGACTTTCCAAAAAATTCGGTTTTGTTTCCATGTTGTTACGCGTACGTACTCGAATGGCGTCGTTGAAGTCGTTAACGAATTTTAAAAATGTCGTCAATAAAATTCAATGTTGACACCTTTAAAAAAATTTAATTGTTGACAAAAAAAAAAAAAAAGTTTTTCATGAAATTTTTTTTTACTGATGACCTCTCTGCCACAAATAAATTTCCTTATATTTAGATGTAAAAAAAAGATAACGAATAATAATAATAATAATAATGGTGGTGGTGGTGGTGGTGGCAACGTTGGTATGTTACGCACATACATACTCTATGTGATGATAGTCGGTGATCCTTGAAAATTGCTTTTCCTACAGTGCTAATCCATGAGAGAACGCATGAGCAACAATTAAACAACCGTTTTTTTTTTCTTTTTTTTTTTTTTTTTTTTCGTTCGTTCTCATTCAAAAAAATTTTTTTGTGTTTTATTTTCTATGAATTATTAATTAATATTCGAGTTAACGTAATTTTTGTTTTATTATATCGTTTTAAAAAATAGTTTTAAAAGTTTTAAATATTTTTTCGCGTTTTATTATAATAATAATTTAAAATAATTCACACACAGAAAAAATCAGGTTCGTAAATTTTTAATTATATTATTATTATTATCATTATCATTATTATTATTATTATATGTAATTAATTGTGCGTGTAATTTTAATTATTTAAATGATGTTTTTTTAACATTAATTATATTATAAAAGGACGCCATGATTGATTTATGTACGTATATTGATTGAAAAGATTTCGATATATCGAAATATATCGATTCCGCCAAAAAAAAAGAAAAAATAAACATTAAATGTGTTTATGAAGGAATGCCGTTATTATAATTAAGTTTTTTCTCTTTTTAAAATGTTTTTTAATGTTTTTCAAAATCATAATTAAAAAAAAAAAAAGAATGAAAAACCGTTATTCAACCGTCAAACTAATGAAAAATGATTTGTATTGGTTTAATTTACAAAAAAAATAACAATTCACGCTTTGTTACTTTTATAATTCAAATCATTTTTTTAAAATTAAATAATTGAGATTTGTTTTATAACAAATTTCAATCAAATTGATATCAATTAAAAAAATTTTGTTTTAAATGTGAATAATAATAATAATAATAATAATAATAATAATAATAATAATAATAATGGAATGATTGATTTGAAAAGTGTAAAAGTGAGAAGAAGAAAAAAAAATTATAATTAAATTTTACATTTTTGCAACCTTCACCATTATTAGGTAACAAAAGAAAAGAAAAAGGTAAAAAAAACCATAAAATTTATTACTTTATTGTTTTTTTACAAATGTTTTAATTGTTTAATTAATCCCTGTCATAATAACTATTATCAAATTTCTTAAAATCATAAATTAAAAAAAATTTATTTACACTGACATTAAATTAACAAAATTATTTTATTTTTTATTTTTCATATTAACATTAATTTAATTATTTTAATTATTTTAATCAAAACAAAATCAATGTTTTTTTATTTAAATATAAAAAAAGAAAGGAGATATGAAAAAAATTTGCAATATTTTTAATGTTATGACAAAATGATTTTATCAAAAGTTAAATAGTTATATAATAATGTCCTATCTTAAAAATTTAAAAAAAATTGTTCTATTTAAATTGAGTTGAGTTAAATAATATATTTATGTATTTATTAACAATTTACATAATAATTAATAACAACAGGGTAGTCAATTATTGTAATAACAAATTCATTTTTTATTTTACAAAAAAAAAACATTTTGATTTTTAATTTAAAAAAGCCCCTTCAAATTTTTGTTTATGCAATTTACATTTTTGCCATGTCATTAAAAAAATCTAATTAGTCATTTATCAGATTTTTAATTTTTTTATCAATACTACAAGTTTGTTTTGAAGTTTTTTTTTTTTTTTTTTTTTTGAAATAATAATGATAATAATAATGGCCTTTGAATTAAAGTGCTCTTGAATTTTTTTTTTAAATTAAAAAAAATTTTAATTAATCTTTTTTTCATTCTTTGTTTTTTTTTTTTTTGATAATAATAATATTATTTGAAAAAATTTAAAGTATGACTCTCAAATCTTTTAAATGCAATTACTAATGTGTGTGATCACTATGAAGTTGTTATAATCATTATTATTATTATTCTTTTTTTTTTTGTAAATCTGATGCAGTCTTTTTCATACCAGGTTTAAACTTTAATATGTAGTACAAAATTAATTTAATTATATGATTTGGGTTCAGGTCAGGTTGATTTTATTTCAAGTATTTGTTATAGACATTCAAGGTCTACAATCACAAACGATTTTGTTTTTCATTTTGTCTAATCTTAGTTTACAATTGTTTGTATTTGTTGTACAATTTTTTGAAAATGGAAGCTCGAACAACACTAAAACATTTTCATTACAAAGTTATTTAAATTAATATTAAAAATTTCATTAGGTTAGTGTCAACTATACTTTCTTTTCGACTATACTTTCTTTTCTTTTCCTATTATCATCATCATCATCATCAACAACAGAAATGTTTGTTGCATAACAAGTTATTTTAAATTAAATACCTGATTCACAACGTTTCATAATTAATTATTTATTTGTTAATAAATAAAAAAAAAAAACCTGGAATGGAAGAAATTTCAAACATTTGAACTCGCGTAAACTTTAATGTGTTTGACCCAACAATTTGAAAAAAAAAAAAATTTTTTTATTTAATTTAAAAAATAAATAATTGACGTCATTATTTACGTCATATTTTTTAATTATTGATTTTTCATAATTAAAAAAAAAAAAACGTAAAAGGAAAAAAAAATAGTTGGAGGCGGGGGGAGGGAGGGGAAAAAATTACTCAACATAATTTATTAATTAAAATAATTTTATTTATGTTATTAATTTTAATAAAAAAAAAAATTAATTAATTTTTCATTTTTTAAAAGATCCATCATGGATCCATCATTCGAATGTAAACAAAACAAAAATTGTCGTGGTATTAGAAAAAAAAAAAAAAATATTTTTCTAAAGAGTCAAATTAATGACTTTTTTGTTAATTTTTATTATGATTATTTTAACGAATCTCGTGTTTAAATTTTAATTTTTAATTTTTAAAATTAATTAAATTAATTATGAAAGTAATAAAAGACATTTTTATTAAAAAAATAATAATAATAATTTGGTAGTTTGAATATAAACGATTAGCGTAGTATGTAGTCTGCTACAAACGTCATAATTTGTCATTTTTATTTCAATCGTTATACGTGCTGGATTAATTTTTTTTTTTTTTAAATTTGACAAGGTTAAAAAATTTAAATTTATCCAAAAAAAAAAAAAAATTAATAATTTATAAACGTTCGTGAATATAAATATAAATTAATAACAATAGTAATAATTACTATTATTGTTCTAAAAATTTTTAAAAACTTTTTTAATTTATTTAATTATTTAAAATGCTAATTTCAAAACTTTTTTATTTATTTATTAATAATTGAAAAAGTTTTTAAAAGAAAAACAAAATTACAACCGTTAAACGTTTACAAAAAAAAAACTTTTTGTAAATATTTCTCACCTCAACGTCTATAATTGATAAGTTTAATAATTTTTTTTAAAAATGTTTGTAAATAATAATAAAAATAGTAAAATACCAAAAAATTTTTTTTTCTATCTTTTCTAACATTTGATAACATTTTCATTATCAATAATTAAACTATCGAAAAGATAGTAATTGTAAAAAAAAAAAAAAACCTTTTTATTTTTTTTCACGCGTATTTTTAATAAAATGTCGAAAATTAATTAC